CCGCCCCACCCTGCCCTCGCCCACCTTCATCGCGGCCGACGTGACGAGAGTGAGGTCCGCGCGCCGCGTGCACCACCGTATGATGCTCCACATGGGCGCCACCAGCCCCTTCCACGTGTACCGCGGGATGTACTCCGGGATGTGGGTGTGGTAGCTCATGACGAGCGGCACGGCAAAGAGGCGCGCGTAGAGGACGGCAGCGAAGCAGAGGATGCCGGGGGTGGACACGTGGATGACGTCGGGGCGCTGCTTCCAGAGGTACCAGAGGACGCGGACGGAGAGGCCGGTGGAGAGGAGAAGGGTGGCGGACTTGTAGAAGGGGAGCTTCATGCCCAGCACGTTCACGACCTAGGGGGGGGCGGCCAGGGTGAGGGGCTTGGTCGAGCCGGGGTCGAGCACTGTCCAGGCACAACAGGGAGAAGGCTTTGGGAGGAGCACGTTTGGTGAGGTGTACAGAGAATGCAGCGCGTCATATGCTGAGCAAGGGCCTGGCGGCCGCGGCAGGCGCGCCGCAGCGAATGGGGCTGGCGTCAAGCATGTACTATGGGCCGCCCCCAGCGTAACCCCAGCGCCGTCCTCGTAAACTGAACAGCTCATTGGGTGCCGCGCAGCGTCCGCGACCGCATCCAGTCGGCTAAAATTCCGCAGGCAGCGCTGCAAGCCGCCCACCTTGGCGCCGCAAAACTCTTTTGGCGGCGTTGGGTCCGGCGTCACCACCATGACCTCGTCGCCGGCCTCGCGCAGCCCCTTAATCAGCGATTCAAAGCGGTTCTTCATACCAGAGATGTGGCTGAACGGGCTGGGCTCGACGAAGATGGCAACTTTGCGCTGATTCTGCAGCTGGCCAGACGCCTCCAGGGGCCCCGCTGTAAGCGTAGCCGAATGGGGACGGGCAACCAGCACGCCAGGCCTTGCCACCAGAGACCTCTGAGCCGGGAAGGCCGTCCTCATGCCCGCGCTGTTCAGCGCCCGGTGTGTAGACTGCATGTCGATCGCGTATGAGGTCGCGGCGGTGGCTCTGTGGACTACACTGTATTCAACAAGCCCACAAGTCGCCTGGCTCGAAAGGCAGGGCGGGGCTGAGTGCGGGGCTCTTGGTCACCAAGTGCAAGCCTGCAGTGTGCTGCTGCTGCACTGCTGCTTCCTTGCGGACGAGTGGGCGTGGGAAAGGCTGCACCGTGTCAGATATAAGCATTGTTCCTGCAAACAGCCAAATATTGCGCTCTGCTGCTGCGATGCTCACGGGCCCGGGTATCAACACAGCATCGTGTCGATTCAAGTGAGCTGCCCTCTCTCAAGTCCCTCGGCCCTGCTAGACCACAAGTATAGTCTCTCAGACACTAGATTAATTTTAACCGCCTCCTGGGAAAGGCGTGCACCGCGAGGGTCGATTCACTCATCGCGCCAGAACGCAGATCACTCATAGTTCAAGTTTGTTGTGCTTCCAACACGTGGATCGCTCACAGCTCATTGGATATCCGCAGCAGTGCCCAGTAATGGCGGCTCCCTGCACAGACGCCGATGTGCGGCGAGCCCTGGGCACCGTGGCCGTGCGCTGCTCGGACGCAACGCTGCTGTCACGGCTGGCACAGGCGGCGCAGCAGCACACCCTCACCGCCAAGGCACTCGCGACACGCTACTCAACATTCACTATGAACAGGCAAGCTGCGCGGGCGCGGCAGCTGGGGCTGGGGCTCCAGGCCGGGGGCCATGCGCATGGCTCACGCCAGCGAGCAGAATATACAGGCCGTCCGTGAGGCTGGCTGTACACCATGCAGCGGTGCACCTGCTGCGTGCCTGATGCCCATCTGCAGCTCCACCTCTGCAAGAATCGCCCCTACATATGCAGCGGCAACCAGCTGCATATCTCCACCCTGTGACTTTATCGCTGCCGTAGTGACGACGAGCGGCTGGTCAACAAAGTGACCCCGGCGCTGGTGGAGGCGTTCTTGGCGCAGCTGCAGCGCGACGCCAGCAGCAGCGCACGCGTGGCTGCAGCGCAGCCGCGTGGCGGCGGCGCCGGCGGCCAATGGGGGACTCGGTCCTGGGAAGAGTGAGTGGCGGGGCGATGCGGCTGCAAGCAGGCGGGGGGCAGGACCACCCCCGCAGCCAACACCTGGAGCCCTGGGCCTGTAACAAACGGACGATTCGCGCCCTTGATGAGCTCTCAATGTCAATTGACAAGCTACCCGGATTCCCAAGCATGTCCATCATGGCGGCTTCAACGTTGCCCTAACGCGCTGCTCCACTCAGGCTGGCGGACACAATGGTTCCAGGGGTCAAGTCGGACCAGAAGCAGCCGCCCTCGACGCCGCAGCAGCGTGCCGGCGCCGGTGCAGGAGGCGCCTCCCCGCTCACACCGCAGTCCGCGCCGCGGTCGGCCTTCAAAGAGCGCGCCAACGTGAGCACCTGCTGCCCTTGGGCAACCTCGGCCTGCATGCTACACAATGCGTTGCCACGTGCTGCCCCGGCAATGCCAATCAACAAATCGAAACCCTGAGTCTGCTTGCCGCGCTCATGCCCTTGCCTATTTGCATGACCTTGCTCGCCATGCAGAGCGGGCAGGTGGTGTCGGTGTTCAACGAGCACGTGCCTGCCGCCCAAGCGCCCCACCTGGTGCCTCTGCGGCCCGAGCCTCTGGGGCGGCAGCTGCCGGGAAGGTACACGTTTATGATGGAGCGCCCGGAGGACAAGGTGGGCGGCGGCTCGCGTCCTTGCGGGGCGCATGCTACCCCTGGTGCATCATGATTATGGGCGGGGATGTCTCAGTGGCTGGTGAAAGGTTGTGCCGCGAGCTGTTTGGCAGACAGAGGGGCAGGTTGACTCATCAGTCAGGCGTCTGAACGAGGCGCCCGCACACCCGCGCAACCAAAATGCGCGAAACTCTTGTACTGACGCGACCAGGTCGCAGCGTTGGACGCGCGCATATGCGAGGGGCGGCGGCGGCTGGCAGAGGCGCTGGGACCGGACTTTGGCGAGGCGGCGCCCGTGGGCCAGCCTGTGCAGGTGCGGCTCGCACAGCAGCAGCAGCAGCAGCAGCAGCAGCAGCAGCAGCAGCAGCAGCAGCAGGGAGCCAAACGCGCGCGATTGTTGCTCCCAGTGCAGGCAGCAGCACTCCTGGTCGTCCGCTGCGCCGCCTGGGGTGATGCTGCGGTGCCCATTTTGCAGGACACGCCTGCACCCACTCATTGGCAGAGCATCCACAAATGTGTGATTGGCAGCACGCCTGAATGAACCACGCGCTGCGCCGCACCCACCCTTGACAACCCTGAGCAGGAGGACAGCTGGTTCGTTGGCCGCGTCGTTTCGGACACTGACGGCGGCGCCCCCAGCGCCGCCTCTCTCATGCTGGAGGGCGACGTCGCGACCAGCGGCGGCGCGCGCGCGGCTCTCGACCTGTCCCTGGTGCAGGCGGCCCGCCTGTTCCCCGGCCAGATCGCCGCCGTCCGCGGCTTCAACCCCACCGGTGGCCGCATCGTTGCGCGGCGGGTCGTGACGCATGCGCCACCACCGCCGGCGGCGTCAGCGTCGGCGTCGGCGGGGCAGCGGGGGCGGCAGGGCGCGGCGATGGACGTGGACGGCGGCGCGGGCGTTGCGGTCGCGGTGGCGGCGGGGCCGTTCACGACGGCCGACGACCCGACCGGCTTTGCGCCGCTGGACGCGCTGCTCGCGGCGCTCGCCGCGCGGCCGGCGCCGCCGGCGCTGCTGGTGCTGCTGGGGCCGTTTGTGGACGTCGAGCAGCCGGCGGTCGTGGGCGGCTCCCTGGACGTGACTTTCCAGTCGTTGTTCACGCACCAGGTGGGGCGTGCCCACGGCTTTTGCGCGCGTGAGATCTGAGCCGGCCCGCGGCAAGCCTGTCCATGGGGCAATGGACACAGCACGCGTGCGTGCGTGCGTTTTGCGTATCTGGGTATTGTGGGTGTGCGTGTATGCATGTGTGTGGGTGCAAAAGCGCGCCCCTTTAGGTCTAACAGGCATCCCCCCAAGCTCTGCCCACCCCTCTGCTTGTTACCACAAACCCCACCCCCCAGGTCCTCGCCCGCGTCGCCGCGTGGCAGGAGCGCCTACCCGCCCCCTGCCAGGCCGCGCTGCTGCCGTCCCTGCGCGACGCACACGCCATGCCAACCTTCCCCCAGCCGCCGCTGGCCGTGCCGGCGCACCTGGAGGATATGGAGTGCCTGCAGAACCCTGCGCTGTTCGACGCGGGCGGCCTCATGGTGGTGGGCGCGACGAGCCAGGACGTGCTGCGCCACATGGCGGGCGCGGAGCTGCAGCGGGGGCCGCACGCGGACCGGCTGGCGGCGCTCGCCAGCCATCTGCTGGGCCAGCGGAGGTGCGTGCGACGCGCGGGGGTGCACAGGCGGGTGGGCTGGAGGGGGCTGCTGCCCCGGCCCCACTGCACAGGATCATCATCGTTGGGGACCGCTGGGGCATACAGCTTGCTCTTGCTGTTGGCAGCAGCCCATCCTGGCTCTCGCGTCGCACTCCACTCAAGACGCGTCATGATTTAACAGCGGAACCCCACTCGGTGCCGCCTGCCCCGCAGCTTCTATCCCCTGTTCCCAGCCGCCCCCGGCGCGTGCCTCGACACGACCGCCGACGCGGCGTTGGCCATTGAGGTCCTGCCAGACCTGCTCCTCCTGCCCTCAGACCTCGCCCCCTTTGCAAAGGCCGTGCCAGCAGACGGCCCCTACCCCGAGTGCTCCGCCGGCCCCGCCACCGCCGCCGGCGGCGAGGGCCAGCAGGGCGGCAGGCAGCAGCAGGGGCGCAGCGTGCTGGCGGTCAACCCCGGACGGCTGGTCAAGGGAAACGGCGGCGGCACGTACGCGGTGCTCACGGTGCCGCAGGGCGCCGCGGCGGCGGCGGGCGGGCTGGCGGCGAGCTGCAGGGTGGAGATCACTCGGATTTAGCAAAGGACAGCGATTGGCTGATTTAGTGGGGCGTGAATTAAGGCGCCACGGCTGGCTTGCTGGCCGCACTGCTTGACGCGTCCTCGTCGGCGTGGCTGTTGGCCCAGCAGCCGCACTGCGGCCAGTGCTGCTTTCAGCTGTTGGTGGCCACAGCTACACAGTGTTGGTCTTACCATTTGCTCTTGTTGGGGGCGTACCAGAATGCTAAATGCCCGCGCTCACCCCTCAATGGACCGCCCCCCAACATATTAAATTTCCATCAGTAAGACGCAGCTGCATCACGGCTCCCGTCCCCGCAGCAGCGTCGTTCGTGCCTGCGTGTGCACGCACAGCATGCCACCAGACGGGTGGAACAGGAACCGCTAGCATGCTCCCCTAGTCTGCGCCAAGCGACAGCCGCTCAGCCTCTCGCGCCACCAGCGCCAGCTCGCGCGCCCCCAATTCTGGCAGCAGCGCCATCACAGCATACAGGATGTTGCGGTGTCCCGCGCTGCCGCTGCCGCCGCTGCTGTTGCCTTGGCTGTCCCCCCAGCCATCCCCGCAAGCTTGCGCCCCTTCAAGGCAGCCGCAGCCGCCTGCGCCCGGCTCTGTGCAGTCCCGCTGGGACGCGACTGCCGGGCGCGACGCTGCTGTGCTGCCTGTCAGCAGCGCACTTGCGCTGCTGCCGGGCTGCAGAGCCAAGCTCTGCCCATTCGCTCGATGGGCTCCCTCTTGACAGTGCCCATCGTCCCCGCCACGCTCACCCGTGCCAGGGGCCGCCCCCATACTGGGCTGCTGCTGCTCATCACCCAATTCATGCGAGCCTGCTGGCAGCAACCGTTTGGCAGCTGCGTCCGCCTCGGCAGCTGCCCGCTCCTCTGGCGTGACCTCCGTGTTGTCCAGCTTGGTCAAGGCCGGCAGACTGCGGATCGCGGCGGCGCGGTAGCCAGGAGCCTCGGCGCAGGGGTTGTCGGACAGCCACAGCACCTGGGGTTATTGTCAAAACCACATGTGATTGTGCCCAGCAACTCTTCTTTGAGGGAGAGGCCAGCATTACTGTAAACAT